CCCAAGCCAGGACAAACAGTAACAATGCAACCAAAACAGCAGCTATGGAGATGTGAAGGAATTAAGTAGCTAACAGAAAAAAAAAAGAAAAAAAGTGGCTAACAGAGGAATCCTAAAGGATGGTGGAGGCGGCAACTGCCCCAGCAGCTACCTGTCCTGGAGTGATGGGAACAGGGGCAGTGGTGTCACTCTGTGCCCTTAGGCACTGAAAATGTTGCAGGAAAATGTTGCCACCACACTCAGTCTTAATCTCAGCGCTCCCTGGGAGCAGGGCCAGCATGGCATGTTGGGGATTGATCCCCAGTCCCTGAGTCTTAATCTGCTGAGCTTTCTGGCTGGCCCAGTAACTTGGGCAAATCTTGCAAATGTGGTGCTAAGTAAACCAAGCCATGACAGCCCACCTGCTAGATGGCTGCACTCAGATGAAAATCCAGAATAGAGAAATGTATATGAAAGTCTGGCAAATAGGTCTGTGCTTGGCCAGGACTGGGAGGGAAAGACGGGAACTAGAGCGCACAGCGATGAGGTAGCTACAGACGTGGGGGTTCTTTTTAAAATTTGTGGTAAAGTGTGCAGAACATAAAATTCCTTTTTTTTTTTTTTTTTTTTTTGACATAGGGTCTTGCTGTATAGTTCAGGTTGGCCTTCAACTAGTGGCATCCTCCTGCCTCAGCCTCCCAAGTGCTGGGATTACAGATGTGTACCACCACACCTGGCTAGTCTAAAATATTTTGTCTGCAATTATTTTTCGAGCTCTTGTTAATCTGTTCCTTTATCTTAAAATCAGGTTCCTACCCTTGACCAAGTATGCTAATTTATAGATTCAACATAGTTTGAAGGAATTTGGGGTGTGACAGGCCTGGAAGAAAAGGAGTATGAACAAACCCAGGGAGCACAGGTCTTAATGATCATTCCTGGTCTCTCTCTCTTTTTTTTTGGCAGAACCAGGGATTGAACTCAGACCCTTGCGCTTGCCAGGGAAGCACTTATTCTACTGAGCCATCTCCCCAGCTCCTACCTTGTCTCTTTTCTACCTACCTTTACTTCTACACGAGTTGCATGCATCTGGGACTACACTAAAAGCCGGTGAACTGCAGGCTGCATTTCTGTGGTGCTTTGCAAGCCCTGGGCAAGTGCTCTACCACTGAGTTACACCCCTGGTCTGAAGTTATATGCTGGAAACAAGTGATTTAGACTGTTATGTGGATTCTGTCAATATAGATTTTTTTTTCTTAAAAAATCAGAGTCAGCTTGGATGGAGCGTTAAGAAGCTTCTGCATTCCTGGTAGCCGGAAGCAGAGCCAAAGCGGGAGAAGGGGGACACAGAGCCCCACCCGGGCCCCACTCCCAGCGATCTACTTTCCTCCAGTATTCATTTCTTGATTCTTTTTTTTTGGTAGAACGGTGATTGAACTCAGGCCCTTGTGCTTGCCAGGCAAGTGCTCATTCTACTGAGCTATTTCCCCGGCCCCAGTGTCTGTTTCTTGGCTTGCATTTATTTTATTTTTTTACTTTTTAAAGTTTGATTTTTCTGTATTTTAGGGAAGGGTCTACAGGGTGTTTAGGGTCTCACTACTAGATCAGACTCATGGTGATCCTCCCATTTACAGCCTCTGAGTGCTGGGATTACAGGTGCATGCCACCATGCCCAGTCTCAACTGCCACCTCAGTGCGCCCCGGGGGCTAGGCCGGCATGGCAGGCCTGGGGATTGAACTCCCGGCCCCGGCGCCTGCTTGCAGGTGCTTTAATCTCCTGAGCTATTTGGCCACTCTCCCTCTTTTTTTTAGTACAGGGTCTATAGGGTCTCACTACACAGATTGGACTCATAGTGATCCTGTTTTCAGCCTCCCAAGGGCTATGATTACAGGGGTGCGCCACCATGCCCAGTCTCATCTGCCATATCATTATGCCCCCAGAGTGGGGCTGGCACGGCGTGTGGCGCAGGGGATGGAACCCGGGTCCCTTTAGTCCACTGAGCTATCTGCCCAGCCCCCATTTATTTTATTTTATTCCATTTTACTTTTTATTTATTTTATTTTTTTGTCTTTTTGAGACAGGGTCTCACTAGTTAGTTCAGGCTAGCCTTAGGCTCATTTTGTAGCCCAGGCTGGTCTCAACCTTGCAACATCCTCCTACCTCAGCCTCCTGAGTACTGGGATTACAGGCATGGGGTTGGGGTTGAAAAAAGCTGAATTTATTTTGTAGCAAAACTAATAAAAAGAAACATTAAACAGAACAAGCTCAACTACAAAGAGTTATTAACTTTTCGGCCAGTCGATTTTAAAAGCTCAGTTTCATGAAAACTAGAAAGTAAAGACTCAAAAACAAAGTAACAACTGAATAGAGTTGTGCTGTTTCATCAGACAAGGTCGCCCACGATTCTTCAATCCCATCTAGCTCCGGGACCTCCACACGTGGTCCTCAGAGCCTGGGGGAGCGCCTTCTGGTCTCTCATCCCCAGCCTTCTGGGCTGTCCCCCTTCCTACACAGCTGCTTGCAGGCCTCCAATCCCCTCTCAGTTCTACTCTAGGACCCCCAAAAGGCAGTGCGGCTGACAGACCCACCTGAGTCTGCTGTTCAGCTACTCACCGAATTAACCCTTGAGCCAGGCATGGCGGTGTACAGAGGCCTGCAATCCCAGCACTCAGGCAGCTGAGGCAGGAAGGATCGAGGGCTACACAGCCAGCCTGTCTCAAAAACAAATACCAGGGCCGGGGAGCTAGCAGCATAAGCATCTTCCTGGCAAGGACAAGGTCCTGAGTTCAATCCCAAACAAAACAAGTATCTACCCGGCATGGTGGGGCACATCTGTAATCCCAGCTATTACAGAGGCTGAGGGTTGCAAATTTGAGGCCAGCCCCAGACACTTAGTGACATCTTCTCTCAAAAAAAGCACAGGGTCGGAGGGGGGAACTGGGCCTGGTGGCACACACCTGTAATTTCAGCATTTGGAAGGCTGAGGCAGGAGGCTCCCCAGGAGTTCAAGGCCGGCCTGAGCTACACAGTAAAACCCTGTCTTAAAAAAAAAAAAAAATAAAATTCTACCAGTTAAAAAAAAAAAAAAAAAAAAAAAAAAGGGAGGGTGGCTAGGAATGTAGCTCGGTGGTATAAGTGGGCTACAATCCCACCACTACACACAAAACCCCCCACCAAGTTAAGCAGTATAGGCAGAGCCTCTGCTTTTAACCACTGTGGGGAGGGTGTGTGTTAATTCGGCCTCCACAGCAAACACAGGCATATTTTGGGCTGCAATGTTAATGTAACAGCCACTAGTTATCTACGAGGAATTAATTAATTTTGAGACTAGGTCTCCCTACGCAGTCCAGGCAGGCCTTCAATTTATGGCGCTTCTCCCACCTCAGCTTCCAGAGTGCTGGGATTACAGGCGTGCACCACCACGCTTGGGTTTATGTACGGAGGCTTAAATTAAGAAAATTAGCGATTGAGTCCCTTGGTCACTCTCAGTGTCCCCAGGCAGAGTGGCTGCCATACCTGGCAGCTCTCTGATCACAAGAAGTTCTATTCAGTCAGTTTCTTCTACACAGCTCTACAAAATATGAACCACACATAAGACTCCAAGTCCACATGTACTGCACAGAATTTTTTAATTAAATACACTTCATAATGTTATCTGCACCTAGTACACTTTTTTTTTTTTTTGAAAAATAAGACATGCCATGTTAGCCATGAAGTTAACAAAATATAAGCATCCAATAGAATATATTCTACTGTGACATCATTCATGTAGCTTCTTAGAGAAACACATAAGCTACTTTTGGTCCATCAGCCAGGGCTGGACCAGAAATCCAGGAGGATGCAGGGCGGGTTCCCTAATGCCACTCGGATGGCTCCTGTGTCTGCACAGTGCCACTGGATAACTGGCTGCCGCAAGAAAAGCAAAGGAGATAGCAGGCCCCCCTCCCCTCCTTAGCCTTCCACTCCACCCCGCAATCCTCCACCAACTAAAGCTTAAAGCGAGGGCATCCTCAGACCTGCAGCATGTTGGGCAGGTCTGGGAGACTCCCATCCTCAAAGGCACCAGTGTACACAGAGCACTCAGAGCCCCAGCCTGTGGGGTAAAATGAAAAGTACGGGCAGGCGCAGAAGGCCAGAGAACACCTGTGGATGAGCGTGCTTTGGGTATCTGGCTTCCCTACCTGGGGAGGAGAGAGAGGCTTGGAGAAATCAAGTGGGCATGGGGATGTCGGGCCCACAAGGGAAATAGAGTGGCAGGGATGTACATGCAGCCAGAGCGGATGTGTAGCCACTAATGGATGGTGCCCTCACACCTGGGGCCAGAGCCTGCACTCACTGAGCCCAAGACACTTTGCAAGTCTGGGGACCAGGCTCTACAGGTCCTGTGCTAGCCCACTGTCCATGTGGCCAAACCACTGCCTCTACTCAGGAAACCACTGTAACACTTTCTGCTCAGCCTATGTGGTCCAGCTTTGTGGGGTGATCTCCCTGCCCTGCACCCAAAGGTAGGGGGGGCTGCCCAGGCCACAGGGAGATTCCTGGCTGTCCCTGTCCCCTTGATCTGCAGCAGACCTAATGATAACAGCACATTTCTGTCTGTTCATCTCCTGAAACCCGGCTGGTTTAAGGCCCCACGAACAGCCCATAATGAGACAGGAAAGGGGTTCAAGGAACGTACCCCAAGTTCCTAACGATCCCTGGGTTCAACGTGTTTCCCTAGCTTCAGGCCCACCTTCATGTCCATTGTACCCTGACCCCCAGGCCTTAGAAAAATCGCTTGGGAAACAAGGAATGCTGGGACACGGGAGAAACCTGATTTTAATTTCCCTGTATGTTTTGTTCTTCCAGGCTCAGAGCTCGACCTCGAAAGGTGGCCTGCTCACCCCTTCAACTGCTTCCCCCACGGGGAACACGCTCGCCTTTCCCGTCTCTGCAGCTCCTGCGGCTCTCTGCCTCCTGACCCATCAGAGGCTCACACGTCCTGGCCGGGCGTTCAGCCTCCACTGATGCTCTCGGGGGCTCGTCTTTGTTACCCCATCTCCTAATCTCTGTGGCCCCTTCGCCTGGAGGGAGCATCATCCCACCATCTAGTCCTAGCAAATCCTAGCTGGCTTTGCCACTACATGTCAGTGGAAACCAAATCATCTCTAATTCTGAACACCCCTTTGGACTCAGGGCCACCATGACTGTCACTTCCTGTCACTGCCCACCCTGCCAGAGACCGCTGGACATCCGTGTCTCCTGCTGGCTTGGATGGCAGAGACCATGTCTTATGTTGGTAGCTTTTTCCTCTACATGCTTAATACACAGTAAATGTCTCGAAAATGTTGTTGAACCCAGTGGGTACTCAGCTAAGGGGTAAAGCTCCTTATCTGGTGCCTTCTTGGGTGTTTAATACACAATACAAAGGTGGCTAAGACAAAACATGAAGTGCTTATCACAGGCGACAGGTTGGCAGAGCTTGGGAAGTCAGGATCAGAATGAGTACTAAATGCAATCTATCCGGTAAGCGCTGGGTAACACTGTCTGTTAACACTGGCGTCCTGCCTGTTAGTTCAAGGCTGCCTTGGGAGGCCGCGAGCTAGTTCTAAGTGGTATTTACTAGTGGAGCAACGCCACAGATCCTGGGGGAGGGGGCATGCTTCCCCTATCAGAGCATCCTAAGAGGATTCGGAGTGGAATTCTAACTTCATGGCAGGAGGGCGTGGGCCCTGGGGGGTCTTAGTGGCTGGCTTTTCCCATTAGTAGGATTTGAGGGGTGTGACCTCCAGCTGTTTACAGCAGAATCCCCAGTGGTGCCACTTAACAATGCAGGCAGACCCTTAGGTTCCACCCCAGTCCTACTTACCCTGAGTCTCTATAGTTGGGGGTATGAGAATCTGCATTTTAACCCCCCAGGAGATCCTCACCCTTATTCAAGTTTGCAGACCTTTCCCTGCCATTCGCAGAAGCGCACAGCCCGGGGCAGCAGCAATGGTGAACCTTGTAGAGCTTTCACCGATAACAGCCTGCTGCAGTAAGCGTGCCACAGGTTCGCCATGGCTGGCCCAGAGGACAAGTTCTGAGTGCTGGTCTCTACTTCACAGCACTCAGAGCCAGAGACCCAGACGGACTCCCAACTGCAGGGAAGTGAGCCAACAGCTCTGGCCTGGTTGGTGGGTCCACAAAGGAGGGGTGCAAGGGAAGCGGAGAGGCTGGCTTCACAGCGAGCGGACCCCCCATCTTCCCAGAGGGGGCCAGTGTGCAGGGAAAATGTAATCCAACGAAGAGCCAGGTTTCCCACCTCTTGTTTATGAGGAGGGGCAGGAAAATTAGAGGGGCTCTTCTTCCTAGGGGCTTGGGTATGTATCTTCACCCCTTTGCTCCCGTCCCTCTTATTTTCCTCTTTCCTCTGTCGACTTCCCAGTTCCTAGGAGGGGGCGAGGCCAAGTACCTCACAGAGAGCCAGAACCAGGTTTGTTTTCAGAGACAACCAGAACAGAGAGTTCAAGTCTCGAACTACAAAGTGAGACCCTGTCTCCAAAACCAAACCAAACCAAACCAATGAAAACTAAAAACACACGCCATCCATCCTCATTGGAGGGGCATAAACAGAGGGCAGGTGGACACTGCCGAGATGCCAATGAGTATGTGCTCAGGGCTGGCCCACTGCGCCGTGTGAAAAGGGGCTCAGATACTGTCTAAAACAGGCATGCATGTGAGGGGGAGGGAGGCCAGCACTCACTGTCTCCGGACTGAAGTCAGGGTGGAGCCTCTGTTTTGCCATCACTCTGAAGAATGTGGCATTGGCTTTGGTCACTGGCTGGGGGCCCCAGTGACCATTTTGGAGGAGAAGAAAGGGCTTTTAATCCCTCTAGGCTAAGCAGCCCCGCCCTTGTCTCCATTTGAAATTTCCAAGACCAAGGGAATGTGGTGTTCTTGCCAGAGACCAAGGCTTTCTAAGATCTGCTGCAGTTCCACAGAACTTGCAGTCTAGGAAGTAGGACGGGAAGGCAAATCTCAGAATGAAGGGCAGAGCCACCTCTGGCTCGGCCTGCACAGTTAGGGAAAGGCGGGTCACCTGAAGGTGGCTCATTCTTTCTTGCTGTGCTCCAGGACACGATAAGGGACCCCAGGGGTGCTTCTGGAACTGTGCTCCTCTTGCATGACTGGTAGTGTGGCAGGGGCGTAGATCTCAGATATGTTGTCATTGTTTTCCAGGGCTCCGTAGGAAAAAGAAGCTTTGAGGTCAGGCTGGACTGTCATGCCCTTGTCGTGCATGTTTTGCATACCTGGAATGAAACCCATTTCCTTGTCAGGACAGGGTGGCAGGGCCAGGGGAGCCACCTTGCTCTGTCCCACTGCTGACCACCCAGGGAGCACAGGGGCTGGTCATGCGCACGGTCAGTTTCCTCAGTGCTTCAGATTCAAGCAAACACCCATTAGTACACACTAGAAATATTACAGTTGCTAAGCAACAGGGGCACAGCTCCAGGAAATGTGCGCTGCTGCCCAGACCAGCCCCTGCCAGGAGGAACCTCCCACCTGCTGGGCTGGGAGGAGGTGGGGAGCGGAGCGTTGGGATGCACGCGGGGTGGGAAGGGCGCTGTGTTTTGGATGTGGTAGATGCCCACACAGCACTGGTCAATCAACTTAGGACCAGAGGACTTTGTCACTAGTAAGTGACAGGTCCCATGAGGAAGGGTTTGACCTTCAGCACCAACATCCCTGGTGCTATGCAGAGTGAAGTGTGATTTTCACTTTTTTTTTTTTTTTTGTCTCTTTGAGACAGGGTCAAACTGACCTTGGGCTCACTTTGTAGCTCAGGCTAGTCTCAGTTTACAAGGATCCTCCTGCCTCAGCCTCCAGAGTACTAGGATTGTAGGTGGGGCTACCACACCTGGCCTGATTTTATGATTCTACCTATTCTGGGTATATGATGTTGGGTTTCTACCGACATCTGAGGGCATGGACCTCCATCTTTTCCTCCTGGGGCTTTCCCTACAATTTCTCCTGTCAGGAAGGGCTTCGTTTACTTTTGAGGCCAGGGAATAAAGGCTCTTCGAGTTCGCCTACCTGCAGGCAAAATGAGAAGAAAACACCATGGCTTCCTAGAGCTTTGCTGGCACCCGGCTGCCTGATGTGCCGGAGGCACCGGGTTTGGCTGTCCCGGTAACAGCTACAGTGCAGGAGTGTTTACACAGTGGTATACCGGCCAGGCATGGTGGCGCATTCCTAGAGTCCCAGCCTCACTCTGGGAGGCTGAGGCAGGAGGATCAAAAATTCAAACCCAACTCAATCAATGTGGCAACTTAGTAAGATCTTATCTCAGGAAAAAAGAAAAAAGGGGGTTGGGGTGGGGGCGTGGCACCTTCAAACCAAACAAGCAAGCAGGAAAAAAACTCAAAAGAAAAAAACAAACAAACCAGGAATGCTGTGTGGCCTCCCTTGGAGACCTGTACTTAGTCCCCAAACAATTCTGTGACCAAGATGCATGCCCATTCTCACTTTCTGGATAAGAAAACAGAGACGGAGAGCAGTGAGCCGATTTCTCATGGTCACACAGCTGGGATCTAATATCAGCACCTCCCCAGGCTGGCCATGCTGGTCCCGTCTCCAGGGCACGCTGAGATGGCGATTGAGACTGGACAAGGTAGAGTACGGCTGTAATCCCAGTGCTTGGGAAGCCGAAAACAGGAGGATCACTGCGAGTTGGATCTGTGTGTGTGTGTGTGTGTGTGTGTGTGTGTGTGTGTGAGAGATCAGCAGCACCTGGGTCTTCCCAATCTGCTAATGGCCTGAGGAGACCCCCCTGAGCAGCCCCTTGCTTCCACCTTTCACAAGGTGCAGCAGCTGGTCATCTGGAAGCCAGTGTCAATGGTGGGGATTTGATGTGGGGAGCAGGGACTGAGGAGAAAAGACAGACACCCCCATTTGGCTGCTCAATTCTGTCTGTGTCCTTCAGACAAAGACAACCAGGAATCCACCGCCAGTCTAACAAACTGGGGCTCACTGACTCTGCACTGAGACGTCAGCAACTGGGGAGATGGCTCAGTAGAATAAACACTTGCCTGGCAAGCGCAAGGGACTGAGTTCAATCCCCGGTTCACTGGGGAGATGGCTCAGTAGAATAAACACTTGCCTGGCAAGCGCAAGGGACTGAGTTCAATCCCCGGTTCTGGAAAAAAAAAAAAGAGAGAGAGAGAGAGAGACATGCACCAAGGGAAGACATGGAGTGTGAATGGGGGTTGTGAGGAAGGAGACCTGGGCGTGGCCTGGGGGATCTGGGAGAGGGATGGAGGAAGGGAGTTGGTGGCTTGGACAACGTTCACATTCCATCTCAGTTGGGACTTCAGGGAGTGGTCCTGTTTGGGTGGTGACCAATCAGGGTCACGGGGGCCTTGTCTGATATTGGTGTTCACTGACAGGGCATCTATCCAGCCTGTGACATCAGAGCAGCTGAAAGACACCAGGCCAGCTCCCAGAGGGTGGGCTGCTCCTCTTTTTCTCATGTTTTCTTCTGAGACAGGGTCTTGCTCTGTAGCCCGGGCTTATCCTGAACTCACTACGTAACCCAGGCTGGTCTTGAACTTGCAGCCATCTTCCTGCCTCAGCCTCCTGCGTACTGGGCTCACAGGCGTGTACCACCAGGCCCAGCTTCTCATTTTTAAAAAGGCTTTGGGGGCTGGGGAGGTAGCTTAGCAGCAGGGCACTCACCTGGCATGTGCAAGGCCCTGAGTTTGATCCCCAGCACTGCACGAAAAGAAAAACAAAAACAAAACAAACACCCTCCGAAAATAAAGGTCAGCTTTTGATATTTGAAACTTCTCCAAATTTTGACATGTTGAGAACTGAAGGCCTGAAGACCTCCTGACAACAGCTACTGGCCTGTCACGCCAACCTAGACAGACGAAAGGCCAGTTCCTCTTGTGTACCAGGTAGCGGGAAAAGCACCTCCGCCTAAACCCAGCGGATCAGGCCATTCTATCCTGCCGGTGCCACCTGGCACCGGGTCAAACAAGTGTTTGAAACTTTCAAAGTTCGTTAAAGTAAAAGGGAAGTGAAACCAAATATAACCAGGCATCTACCATGTCCCAGACACAGTGCAAGGGGCCTCTGCATGTGTGAACCCGCCACCCGGATGTGGGAATCCCAGCTTACAGTGAGAACAAGCGGCCCTGGAAGGCCACGTGGCAGGGGGAGGGCACAGCCGGGATTTGAGTCCAGGTGCCCTGAACTCCAGGCCCAGCTATGTAACCAGAAGTGTCCTGACAACTGCTGTGACAGGACTGGGTCCCCCTCCGTCAACATCTGATTTCCCACTGGCCACAAGGTACAAAGAGAAAGCCAAGAGCCACACCCACAAACAGGCCACAGAATGCTGATATCTAAGATTACCTGAGATTACCTTCTACTCACCACCATAAAGTACGTCTGTGTATATATATACATGTACACCCAAACACTAATATAGATATACACACGTACAATTCACAGGCACACAAATACACATGTACATACACATATTTGCACACACAGAGTTGACACCTCACCTATCTGGAATTCAGCTATCCAGCGCCCTCATCTATCCGGAACACAACCAAGAAACAAGGAAGTAAGCAAAAAAGGCATCGGAGCAGCCAGATTAGATGTTTAAAAATCCATGCATTAAAACCCATGCGCTTAGCTCCTGGGAAAAGCCTCAAGTCCCAACCTCGGAGCTCACTCATTGTGCCTTCAGATGCAATCTGCACAGGCAGGGAAGAGGAGGAGATGGGCATGGAGTCGCTGCACTGCGGGAGGCTGGGTGCAGCAAGATGGCCAACAACAGCTTGATGGCACCAGACGAGCAAAGAACATAAAAAGGAGGCCATGAACTGATGTATGGGGGTCATCTGCGATGGGAGCGCCTCGGCCAACCCTGAGAACACGCTTGCATCACGGCGCTCTGGGCTCGGAGCCACTCTGGACTAAGCAGCTGTCTGTGCCCTCTGTGCTGTCTAAATTTTGTTCATTAGATTGCATTAATGAACAATGGGCGGTTATGTTTTGGAGAGAGTCTCTTTGCACCTATCTAGAATAAAAATTAATTTTGAGTTACAGGTCACTGGCCACCTGCAGAATTTCGGTCAGCAAACCTAGCTGGGGCTGGTTCAAGGTGTTCATTCTCCTGCCTGATGCCCCTGAGGCTGGACAGGCAGCCTGGAGCTCTCCCAGCACTCACTCCTCCTCATCGATTGTGCGGTGTTTGGCTGAGCTGCCTGCATTACTGTCAGGGCCAGAAGGCCTGAAGACTTGTGCTGCTCTGAGACCCCTTAGCGCTCTGGCAAGGGAGGGCTGGCCACTCCCTGCGGAGTGCAGCCAGTGCATTTCATTCATCCCATTTCCCTCGCTGATCACTCGACTGCAACTAGATGGATGGAGTTTTCCACTTGCAGGCCCGGAGCCTGGTGCTACAGATCATAATGATGTCCAGTGTGAATCAGGATTTTCTTGAAAAGATCTCAAAATAGACACAGGAACTGGTGAGATGTGCTCAGAGCCAACAGAGGCGCCCCTGCCGTGGCCTCCTCTTTTGCGCGAGATTAAAAAAGAAAGAAAGAAAGAAAAAAAAAAAAAAAGACAGCGAGAGAACAGCCACACGGTGAGACACAGCACGCCTTCCCCGCGCCCTGCCCAGAGCCAGTTGTCCTGGTTCCCACAGGAAGCTGTGGTCCCTCTGCACATGGCTGGCTGGACACGCGGGGTCGCCACGGTACCTGGCATAGCATCCATGGAAATGTAGGGCTCAAACGGAACGGCCTTCTTCCGGTTCCGGGTGATTAAGAAGACACCCAAGAAGGCGATGAGGCACCTGAGGAGGGAGGACAAGAGAAGTGAGGGCGGAGGAGGAGGCTGACAGGGACCCTGATGGCAGCGGTGGTGACAGGAAGGGAGGAGGCTGCTCTGCAGAGAAGCCCCGAGGGCCACAGATGCCAAGCTGAATCACCCCAGCCGCACACCCCCAGGCCCACCCCGTTAGGTGAGAATATGAATATATTAGAATCTGGCAAAACTCTTTCATGTCTAAGCAGCCAATACTTCTAGAACCTTGCTTTAAAAAATGTTCTCTGCAAATTTCTTTATGACCCAAATTCAATGACTACATTAGTATGAAAAAGTACAAGTTAGTAAAAATTGGGAAGTTCCTATTACCCCCTCCTTCCTTTTTTCCTGTATCTTAGGGAAGGGCCTACAGGGTGTTCAGGGTCTTACTGTGTAGATCCTCTTCTTTACAGCCTCCCAAGTGCTGGGATTATAGGCGCACACCACCAAGTCCAGTCTCACCACCAACTGCCATCTCAGCACGCCCCGGGGGCGGGGCCAGCAAGGCAGGCCCAAGGATTGAACCCCTGTGCCCTGTACCTGCTTGCAGGCGCTTTAATCCACTGAGCTATTTGGCCGGCCCTATACCCCCAGTTCTAACACTCAGGTAGGTATATATTTTTTTTCTGGAGTTTTTTTTTCCCCCTCATAAACTTACATGAACAAACACAGTTTCTAAAAACTGAGGTGTGCCGTGCCCCAAATTTTCTGATCAAGGAGATTATGGAGCCACAGAGGAATGTGACTGATGATTTATAGTGTGCCTGGGGAGAGTCACATGGAGAGAAAACATTCTCTCAGGCTTTCACAGGCAGCAAATTGGTCAAGCAATGGCTGTGACTCATCCTCATGGCTGCCACTGACAAAGGATCTACAAAGTGCATACAAAGCTACAGGATAAATCCTGAGGGTACTTGACTGACCTTGTTAGACACAAAAGTTACATTTCTTTTTACATAGGTCTTGCTTTATCTTGGTCTTAACCATCCAGCAGAAAAGGATAAAAACGAGGTATATAAAGTAAAACCATATTAATAAGATGAGCTGTAAAAGGCTCAAGTCAATAACTTCTGAGGATAACCCACTAATACTATAGACTCTAGACAGTGTTGGATTGTTTAGCTGAATTCAAGCATCTACAGTATTTAGATGCCAATACAATACCCACCTCTGACAGGACTAAACAAAAAAAGGGGATACAAAGGAAAGAACATCTTGTATTTGTATATACAAAATAGGATAGATACATAGCTACTTTCACTTAATTCAGTGAGAAGAAAGATGTGTACTAATAGTGTTTGGGGGCTGGAGAGATGGCTCAGTGGTCTAGAGCACCTACTTAGAACAAGCTTAGCAACGCACAGGGACCGCGGTTCAATCCCCCAGCACTACATGCCAGCCAGCCCTGCCCCCTGGTGGGCTGAGCTGGCCTCTCTCTCTCTCTCTCTCTCTCTCTCTCTCTCTCTCTCTCTCTCTCATAAATAAATAAATAAATAAATAAATAAATAAAAATAGTGTTTGGACAGGATATCCTGTCTGCTTCTTGTACTATGGATAACCACTAAGAAGATAACAATGTACAATGTATTGATTATTGAAACTGTCCTATTAAAAATAAGAGAAAATAAAAACTGAGGTGTAATTTACACACACCAAAAAGAACCAACCAGCTGGGTATGGTGGCACTCTGGAGGCTGAGGCAGGAGGGTTGAAAGTCTGAGCCCAGGGCTGGGGAGATAGCTTGGCGGCATAATGCCTGTCTGGCATGCACAAGGTCCCGAGTTTGATCCCCAGAACCCCCCCAGGCCACACAGGTCCTGGAATCAGGCATGGTGCTGCACCCCTGTAATCCCAGCACTGGGGAGGGTGAGACAGGAGGATCAGACAGGAGGATACAGTTCTCACTATGAACTGCATAGTGAGACCTTGTATCAAAAAATTAAAATTAAAACTGAAAAAAAGTTTGAGCCCAGCCTGAACAACTTAGGGAGACCTTGTTTCAAAATAAAAACACAAACAAAAAAGGGCTGAGGATGTGGCCCAGGGTAAAGGTCCTAGGTTCAAACCTCAGTACCGGAAAAGGAAAACAAATAAAACAAAACAAAACATCCCAAGCCTTAAATAATCAGTTGGATAGCATTTGCTTGGAGGTAACACTTGTATAATCACACCCCAAGATAAAGCAGAAATCTTTCTTTCCTCCCACGGGTCTCCTCCGCATCATAGCTAGCTACCGCCTGAGCTACAGCATGGAATAGGTTTGCTTCTCCTCCCATTCTTGGGAGTGGACTCTTGTGGCGTGTGCTCTTTGACACCAATGTAGGTTCTAAGACCCACTTACTTTATCACACATACTAGTTCACTAGGTTTTTTTTGGAGGGGGGCAGAACCGGGGATTGAACTCAGGCCCTTGCTTGTGCTTGCCAGGGAAGCGCTTATTCCATTGAGCCATTTCCCCGGCCCCCATTAACTGCTGTGTAGAATCCACTGTCTTAATATCCTGTGATTTTTCCTTCACCCTCCTGTCCAGTAGCCATTCAGGTTGTCTGCAGTTTGGGTTGATCAGGAATAAATCAGCTGCAGACTTTGCTGAAGGAAAGCTGCACTCATTCCTTAGGGTTAAAATCTATAAGTGGAAGCTCATCCCTGCTCCTTTTTAAGGATAAGCCACAAGTTTTAAAAAGTTTGTAATATTTGTGAGAGTGTTTCACTCAGTGTATCCTTGATGTTGTTTTACCTATGGGCTGGCCTCTACTTTCAAAATGGTGGCCTGGTGCTCTGTTATCTGAATACACCATGAATATACCATGTTACCTCATAAACCATGACACCATCACTACTTCAGCCCGTGTTCTACTGCTGGCCATCTGGGCTGCTCCTGATTGTTAACTTACACATACAACAAATTAAGAATCAATATGTAGACTCATCTCGTTATCTCTGTGTCCCCTGAGATGTTTTCGAGACACATGATTACCATTGGAACACTGCTTCTAAAATTGTGCTCATTCGAAGTTACTACTGATGTTCACATTGTCCCTGACACTGACACACTGCTCAGAGTGACAGGCAGTGGCCGGTCTCCTTGTCTTCTCAGCAGCCCGGGAGATTAATAATCCTACTGGGTTTTGCAAATGACCCTGAAGGAAGGACTGTAAAGAGCCGACGCGACCCCAGGCACAGGGCCACCTGCCTTCAAGGACTGCTGCGTGCACAGCCCAGGCGGTAGCAGGTGACTCACCCCAGGGCAAACATGCAGATGTGCAGCACATCCTCCCCGACGAAGTCCAGGTAAAAGATGGCACCTGGATGGTGAGCAACAGAAAAGACGTGTGAGCTGCTTCCCAAGCGCCTGTGTGCCGGGCGGACTCGGGTCGGGCTAAGCTCTCCTCCCTGTGCGAAACCAGAGTGGTCAGAAATATGGTGACGATGCCTGTGCCGATAAAACAGCTCAAGAACGGGCTACGGACCACCTGCAGGAACAGACTGCCTGCGTCTCTCTGTGCCTCTCGGCTGCTCTTACTTCCATCTTTTTTTTTTTTTTTCTGACTTTTTATTTTGAAATCACATTAGACTCCCCAAAATAGCACACAGCACCCACGCACCTGTCCTCTAGCTTTCAGGCCACAGGGTATGATCCAAACCAGGAAAATGACAGCGACTGATGAAACCATGGACTTTAACTTTTTTTCCTCTTTCAGTACTGGGGATTGAGCCCAGGGCTTCTGCATTGAGCTACATCCCCAGGCCATTTACAAAAAATATTTATTTATTTACCAGTTTTTATACACACACAGATGTGCATGTTCATCTATACATCTCCGATCCTCCACCACCTCTGTTAAAAAGAATAAATAAGCCACATATGGTGGCTCATGCCTGTAACCCCAGCATTCAAGAGGCTGAGGCAGGAGGACTGCTGTGAGTTCAAGGCCAGCCTAGGCTACTTAGTGAGTTCAAGGCCAGGCTGAAGTACATAGTGAGATCCTGTCTCAAAAATTCAAAGTGGGGGCAAAAGGCAGACAAATGGCCCTGCTTATATCCTAAAGCTGTTAGGCCTTGTATAGCCAGCACAGGCCCGTCAGCAGGCTCACTCCTGGTGTGGACTGAGGGGCCTGATTCCCCCTGCCTGGCTACCAGCCTCCACCTGATGGAGTTCCTGCGTGGCTTCCTGAGCTCCCAGCCCCTCACTTGATTCCTATCTTTGAGTCGACCAGCATTTGCTGTCCCTTTCAGCCATGACTGGGTTTTTTGGCTTTCAGGCCACGGCTCTGGACCAGGACTTAGCTTAGCTCCCAGCTAGGAAGGGTAGGGAGGGGGTGTCAGCACCCAGCCTGATACCTGGTCCTGCTCAGTGCAGGTCCTGGAAGGCTGTGCCCCCGCCCATCCTTGCCCCTGGGAACCAAGGGCCACCTGTGCCAAGCACAGGGCAGAGCACGTAGCCAGGCCTTCTGCAAGGCAGCCGTGCATTTTCAGCAGCCTTTTCCCTGAAGATTTCAGTGTCACTGCCACTTAAAAACAAGCCTGAACAGAGCCACGGGCCTATAACCCCAGCACTCTGGGAGGCTGAGGCAGGAGGAACAGAAAGGAGCTCAGCCTGGGCAACTTAGTGACTTAGCAAGACCCTGTCTCAAAATTTAAACAGATAGACAGACACCATGGCTCAGTGCAAAGATTGTGGGTTCGATCCCTAGTACCGGAAAACAAGCAAACAGACACACCCTCAGTGATAATGCCTGAAGCCTCTGAATTCACTTCAGAATAAAGATGAAAAAAAAAAAAATTAGAGAGAGAGGAAACAGGGATCCAACAATGGTGGCGACCACTTACTGAGCACCTATGGCCCTGTGGATGGTTCAAGTACTCATGAGCTCTGAATGCTGGGTGGGAGAGGTTCACGGTCACTCGGCCAGTGGGGGCTGTGGAGTCGGCACGAGATGGGCAGAACTGCCGGAGAAACCTTGCCTGCGAGCCACAGGCAGAACGGAGCAGAGCTGCGGATTGTACATACTGCCATCGTAGGACACATTATTACTCCTATTCAGGCAATGTGCAGCTGAAGCACAGAGAGATTAGGTGATTTTCCCAGAGCTACACAGTAAGGATGCATTAGTGCCGGGCTGCAAACCCAGTATCTCTGGCTCTACATTCTGGCCACCCTCCGAAAACCCCACAGGCAGAAGACAGAAATGGAGCTCTAGGTCAGCCTTACCTGCTGTGATAGCCACAGTGGTGGACAGGATGTAGCCCACACTGGCGATCAGCGAGGAGTCATAGATCTGTGAAGCTTGACTTAAAAACCTGTGACCAAAAGCATTCAGGTCAGTGGGCGCAGAGAGGCTGGCAGGGTGCAGTGTGGCTTGGAATGTGGGGAGAAGCGTCCCTCAGATTCACACCAAAGCCGTCCTTGTGTCATGGACACCCTAGGTCGCTGGGTTGGAGGTCTATGTGTGGTTCATGCCCCGAGGCCAACAGGGCCATGCCTTCTGGGTCTCACACTTTGGAGCATGAGGTTCTTAACACCTGAAATGGGATCTCCTGTCCACTGAAAAGACCACTTCTGTTCCCATCCACATGCACCAGATATTTGGATCACTTTCTGCCCAATGTTGTAATTGTTTAAACTTTTTTTTTTTTTTTTTTTTTTTGGTGGTACCGGGGATTGGACTCAGGCCCGTGCACTTGCCAGGCAAGTGCTTATTTTACTGAGCCATCTCCCAGCCCCTAAACATTTTTCTTCTTAGTTCAAAAATAATGTGCTTATTGCAATAAAAGTAGGAAAAGAGGAAAAAAAAAATCAGTCATCCCCAATCTCTCTGGGGCAAACTAGCACCCTCGTAGCTCTCCCCACCCTCAGATGGCAGGCCTGGGTGCTCTGAACATTCCTCCCTCCCAAGGCTTCAAACCCCAATGCCATCAGCACCCAGACACTGGAAAATCCATGTGGTGAGGCCCAGGAGGGAAAGCCTGCTACTCACGCAGCCTGGTAGACAGCGGTGGCCACCATGCACACGAACATCACGTAGAAGATGGGGTAGTCAAGCTGCAGGTTCCCCTGGATGGACAGGACCAGCATCCCAGCCACAGCTTTGACTGTCACCACTGTCATGGAGCCTGAGGATTGGGACCAAGGACACACAATAGCCTTAGGGAAACGCAGGGAGCGAGGCCCTAAAAGTCAGTGATAACCCCACAGGCTTAGGAGGGTAGCTGGGGACTTGCACGGACTGGGTCTCTTCACCTCCCCTGACTGGCAGCAATGGCAAAGTGGGAAGGAGAACAAGGCACTAACGGCTGGCTACTTCTTGTTTTGAGACAGGGTCTCACTATGTAGTCCAGGCTGGCCTTGAACTCAGGGCCATCCTCCTGCCTCAGCCTCCCAGATGCTAGCGTTACGGGTGTGCACCAGCATGCCCGGATCCCAAATACCACTTCTGAGTGCCATTGCCAGTGGACAATAGTCCAGTTTTTTGACTCAAGTGCTTGGCACTGGGCCTACAACCTGGAGGGAGGCCCAAGGATCTCTGCACAGACAGATGGACTTCCTTTGACGTTAGTTTCACAGCAAACAGAGGAAGACATGAGGGCGTGTGAAGAGCTTAGGAACAAGCCCTTCTTAACGCTAAGTAACTTGTATTTTTAAAAACATTGCTTTACTCTGAGAAGTCTCTGGTGTTTTGGGACCCTGTCTGTATGCACACATAGTCCCAACACATACGTGTATACTTACCTCAAATTTATAGTCTGCATTTATGTGGCATGGACTTTATAAAACATGGACAGAGAATGTCATTTAAAATGTAGAGGAGGGGCCGGGGAGATGGTTCAGGGGAATAACCACTTTGCTGGCAAGTGCAAGGGCCTGAGTTCAATCCCCAGTTCCGCAAAAAAATAAAATAAATAAATAAAATGTAGAGGAAAGGGACAGCCAGACAGCTCAGCAGACTAAAGCGCCTGCTTGGGCACAGTGCAGCAGCATCCCTGGAATACTTTGCTGGCCCTGTCCCCAGGGGGCACTGAGATGCTGAATGAAACTGGGCGTGGTGGTGCACACCTGTAATCCCAGCAGCACTTGGGAGGCTGAAAACAGGAGGATCCCTAGAGTCCGATCTGTGTAGTGAGACACTGTAGACCTTGTACTAAAAAGGAGGGGCCAGGGAGATGGCTCAGTAGGATAAGCACTTCCCTGGCAAGCACAAGGGTCTGAGTTCAATCCCTGGTTCCGCAAAAAAAAAAAAAAGGCAGAGGAGAAACTCGCTAACTTCCTTCCCACACACACCCGGAGCACGTGCTCTCCCCACTACGATGCTACCTCTCCCCATGGAACAAAAACAGGTCCTGGTGTGAAGCATCAGACCTCGGCCGAGCGCCCTGGTCCCGGCTGCACTGCTCTGTTCAGGGTTCTGTCAGCTTCTCCTGCCAGCAGCCATGAGGCTAGTGTCCCACTCTGGCAGCCACTGAGGACAAGCCCGTTCCACCACGGTCCTCGCTTGTGAGAATGAGGCTGCCCACCACCTTGGTCTGGCCTTGCTAGTCACAAAGAGGGAGCTCTGGAAGCCATCCTTCCCACCTATTTTTTTTTTTTTTTTCTGGCGGAACTGGGGATTGAACTCAGGCCCTTGCGCTTGCCAGGGAAGCGCTTATTCCACCGAGCCATCACCCTGGCCCCCCTTCCCACCTACTTTGAAAAAAAGTCACTGAGCGGCCAAGGGCCGAGCCACAATGTGATCTGGATGAGCTCCAAATATACCACAGTGACAGAAGCTGGTCGCAAAAGGCCACCTCGTACAAGGTGGGACCAACACATGTGGAGGATATTTAAATTAAAAATGATTACTGTAAAAGACACGTTGCCATTAACCCTAAAATTCCACCACCACCTCAAGCGTACATGTCCCACTGTTAGTCCCAGTTTCGGAAGCTGTTTCATAGTGACTCTGAAAGATGTGATCAAAAATACAGTGCCAAGTGCCATCCTCTGTAAAGACAGGCTGGTAAAGAGGTTAAGCTGTGTTTTCATCCTCCTTATCCACTGGGCCTGGTTCCGTGCAACTTCCGGCTCTTCCCCAAAGTCCGAAAGACCAGAACATGTAGATGTTTGGAATGGATTCGGGACACTGAGGCAGCCAAGACAGTGCAGCTGAAGACACCTTGGAAAAGGACCACTAGAGCTGCGTCAGAAAGTGGCAAGAATGGTGGGACAAGTGTGTTCAAAGCCAGGGGCACATGTTGAGGTAGATTAGTGACGATGGGTCCAGCCTTTTAAATCATACTTCAGGGGCCGGGGAGATGACTCAGTAGAGTAAGCACTTCCCTGGCAAGTGTAAGGGCCTGAGTTCAATCCCCGGTTCCACCAAAAAAAGAAAAAAAAAAATCATACTTCACACACCTGCACTTATACAATATATTGAAAAGGTGAGCCTAGGGCTGGGGAAGAAAGTTCAGCAGCATAAGCGCTTGCCTGACAAGCGCAAGGTCCTGAGTTTGATCCCCAGTACTGCATGCTGTGCTGGCCACCTAAACCAGGTGTGGTGGCACACACCTGTAATCCCAGTGCTGGGGAGGCTAAGACAGGAAGATCACTATGAGTCTGAGACCCTGTATCTAAATAAATAAATAGAAGGGCTGGCCAAATAGCTCAGGGGATTAAAGCACCTGCAATTAGGTGCAGGGGCTGGGGATTTGATCCCCTGGCCTGCCATGCTGACCCTGTACCCAGGGCGCGCTGAGTCGGCAATTGAGACTGGATGTGGTGGTGTATGCCTGTAATCCTAGCTCTTGGGAGGCAGTAAACAGCTGGATCACTATGAGTCCAATCTAGTAGTGAGACCCTGAATACCCTGTAGACCCTTCCCTAAAATTTAAAAAAAAAAAACTAAATAAATAAATTAAATAAAAAAGGAGTCTATAGAGACAGAAGGCAGGTGGGACTGGAAGGAGGAGCAAATGGGGGTAGCTGTTATTTTGGGGGCGACAAAAAATACTCTAAAGAGTGTGATGACACCTGCACAACTTGGTGAACATACTAGAAACCACAGACTTGCATATACCGGACAGGTGAATTTTATGGTACATAAATTCTATCTCAATAAAGATATCTTTAAAAAATGAGTCAAGAAGAATATATGCAGTGTATTATTTGTTGAAACTGTACTTTCGATTTGATTTGAAACTGTCTCATTGCTATATGTTTATCAATAAAACTCTGAAAAGAAAAAAAAAGAATAAAACCAAAACTCAACAAAAAAAATAAATAAAAATAAAAATAAAAAATAAAAAAATGAGTCAAGGGTCAGGGAGACAGCTCAGCAGCATAAGTGCCTGCCTGGCATGCACAAGGTCCTGAGTTCAATCCTTGGTACCACAACAAAACAAAACAAAAACAATGCAAGCCTGTGTTGACATGTGGCTGTGTGGTTTATGGCCTCTTGTGATGGGTGACCCTTGAGAAAGATGAGATAAACTCCCACTGGGCACGTGCGTTCACCTCACTTGACCTCTCTCTGCCCTGCCATCCAGGTATCTCATGCACCCATTTAAAAAATACTTATTTTTTTGAGACAAGGTCTTGCTACATAGTTCAGGCTGGCCTTGAACTCACTCTATAGCCCAGGCTGGTCTCAAACTTGTGGTGATCCTCCTGCCTCAGCCTCCCGAGTGCTGGGATTACAGGCGTGCACCACCACACTCAGCTTCAGGTGCCCATTTTTTTAATTTTAATTTTTTTTTTTTTTTATGTATTTGGTACAGGGTCTCACTATGCAGCTTGGACTCGTAGTGATCCTCCTGTTTTCAGCCTCCCCAGTGCTGGGATTACGGGTAGGCGCCACCAGCCTGGTCTCCGTGGCCAGATCAGTGTGCTCATGGGCAGGGCCAGTCCCTGTGCTTGCCTAAGCAGGCGCTTAGTCTGCTGAGCCATCTCGCTGGCCCTTGTGTGCTCATTTTTAGAGCGAGGACAGTGTGGCTTAGAGGGAGAGGCACCGGCGGGGGCCATAGTAGCCCAAGGGGCAGCACCCAGCAGCCTGTGCTCCTTCCCCTGCTGTATTTAGCATTCACAGCAACACACAGTGATGTCTCTGCCCCAACTCAGCTCAGGAGCCCTTTCTCCCCCAGTACCAATTCCTCTAGAAGGGCAAAAATGGACAGGGAATGAGAAAAATCTGCTTCTGCCTTTGTATCTCACCTGTGCTGCTGGGCTGACTCCTGGGGCAGGGCGAGGTTGCTGACCTCCCAGCTCCCCAGCCACCAAGTTCTGCTTTCTTCTTCCTTGCTGTCACTGCTGTTCCCCAAAGGGACTGCCATGCACCCACCTTTCAACCCCTGCCCCCACAGGGTGTCTGCTCCTTCTGGGCTACAGACACAGGCTACACTTGCGAGGCCATGGATTTGAGCGAGACTGCTGGGAATGACAGGAACAGTTTCCCAACAGCAGGGACCCAAGGGATGACCATGGCAGCCCCGAGCTGGCCTCAAGCAGCTTCTGGAAACTAAACCTCCCCTCCTTCTGGGGTTACTGCTGGTGGCTAAACTCCACCCCCAAGACCCCACTTACCAAGCAAGGCCACCAGGAGGAGAATCACAACAATGTTGTTGGCATTCTTCTCCTTGTAGAAGTACAGCAGCAAGCAGAACAGGACGATCTCCACCAGCTGCAAAAGGATGAGGGGAGATCAGGGGGCCCCCACCTGAGAGGCCCAGGGGGGCCCGGATGTGGATCTTGTCACAGTCACAGACACTTGGGAGGGAGATGGGAGTCAGACAATCTCCATTTCCCACTGTGCTGACAGATGCAGAGGGAAAGGGGCAGGTGGAGTGGACCCATCTGGCCTCCGGACAACACAGGAGATCCGTTCACCTAGGGCTGGAACTCGGGTTGAGGTCACTGACCTCATCTCTGCCTGGCTAGTTCGGCCAAGATGCATCCGCTGAGACCTTCTCTCCCCGCTTCACCGCTCCAGGTATCCCCGTTAAAATGGGGCCATTGCGGGGAGAGAGACATGTTCCCCAAGCAGTAGGTGAAGAATACTCCTGCACATTCCCCTTCCCCAGCCAGACCTCAGACGCAGCAGAAAGGGGAAGGGATTAGGAGTCTCCGAGACCTGGACGAAGGAACCTGGGTCATTGCTAAACTTATCACCTGACCTTGAACAAGGCACTAAATGCCTGTAAGATTTATTACTGCCTCCTTGAGACAGGCTAATAGGCATAAGACTCACAGGGCCTTACTTGGGCTTATACTTAATGACCCTTCTTAGAGGCCAGGCACTGTTCTAAACCCTTAAACTCGTTACAACGGTTCAATTGTTTTATGAAGCACGTACAATCACAACTCCCAGCTAGAAATTAGAAGCCAGGCTTTGAGCCCGGGCAGCCTGGCTCCAGGGCACGCGCTTCCCCACTGAGGCCAGGGCCAGGTACCCAGGGTCAGGAGAAGTCCAAGGGGAGACACTTCCTACGCATGCCAGGGCAAGCCCGGAGTCTGAGAAGCTTCCTTGTGCCCAACATCAAGGCCCAGACTTCTGGCAAGAGCTTCCCACAGAAAGCCAGCCCTGGCGCCCAGGGACAGTAAAGGGATGGTAATGGCTCTGCAATGTTTGCCAAGCCCTACTCCCTCCCAGAGTTTATTTAGTATCAAAATGAAAGCAGAAGCAGTAGTGGGCAATCTGAAATTAAAAAAAAAAAAGACAAAACAAAGAAAGTTTAAAATGCCTTAGAATGACAGGCCATAAAACACAAGCTATTTCCACTCTCCCAATTCTTCCTGGTCTTTGTCCCAGAGAGCACGTATTTTACCTAGCTGTTGTTGTATCAGAGCTCAATTAGGGACCAGGCTGCTTTCAGTTACTACAACCTTCGCGTTGCACGGAGCTGTCCTAATTACCTTTAAGCTGGAGAACGCCCCTGCAAGCACACAAGGAGCCACTCACGGGGCGCCCGCCCCCCACTTGTGCGCACACCTGGAGAGCCTGATCTTGGGGTGATCCTCCAGGATCCTTCAGTGAATGTTCGACTTGGCAGAGGATCCTAAGAGGCTGTGCCTTTGCCCATGTCTCCAGATAGACCACGACCTTCTGTGACTCACTGCACTGATTTATGTCCCCAGTGCCTGGCACACAGCAGACACTTGGCATCTGAGCCTGGTTGGGCTGCTCTGCCTGAAGGTCACCATTGAGGGAGAGGAAGCACTGAATCATCCCTGAGCACCTGACACAGGCTGGGCACCTTCCACGCTAGTCATGGACGGCCTGACCACAGCCTTACGTCCGTGCTTCGAGCCACAACACAAAAAAGGAAATGGAGGATGAAAGCCACACGGCTCACGCAGCGGGGAGCCCCGGACTCCCTGAGCACAGGCCTGCTTCAGGGGAGGCTTTCCTTGGCAGGCCTTTGGCTCTGTCCCGGGCACGTTTTTTCATGCCCAAGAGGAACGTCTGGGACATGGAGACGACATGGCCCATGTAGTGACAAGGAGATGACATGGGCCATGTGAGGAAAAGGATGCTGGCGACCTTTGACACACCAGGGTGCGCCTGCTCAGACCAGACTCGAACAGCAAACACCTATATCTGCAGAGCCTGGGGAGGACGGTGGCACCAGAGCCAGACAGGTCCTTCTGCATATCTGGTTCTGTGCAAATCCACTCTCACTTCAGTCCTCAGTTTTCCCACCCATGAAATGGAGAGAGAAACACTCACTATACAGGGCTGAGGAGAGACTTGGATAAGCTATAAAAACACAGCTGGCACAGTGCTGGGTATAAGGTAAGACTACACCACTAGCTTGGCTGGACCTTTAGCCGTCCCCTGATGTGGCTTATGTGTAGCCAAGAGGGGCTCACGAGAATCTCGAGTATCTCTTGGCTTTTGATTGGGTTTTATCTGCTGGGTGATTGCAGAAAAAAAAACCTTCTTGAACTGTTTACAATTTTATCTTCTTTTTCTTATCAAAAAATTTTAACGGCTGCTGTAGAACTTGTGGATGGTATAAAAAGATGAAGAAATAAAAATGGAACACTAATTCCACCTCCCAAAGACAACTACGTAGAATTCTTGTCTTCCCACCCAGTCCCTCCTAGATGTATTCTATTTACAAACCTTCATATCCATCCAGAAACATAAAACTTGGCACCCTGTGATACATGGTGCTAGACAAGCCGCGGGACACAAGGGAAGCGGCATTTCCTGTGAACTCTGTACTCAGGCGGGTGCCGTCTCCCATCCTGGGCCTTAAGCCATGACTCACGGAACCTCTGATTCGCTGCGGGTGCCTGGGGTTCTGAGCCCTGGAACGCAATCCCCCAGTCCTTTCCTCTTAGGGAAGCACCAGGGCCAACTCTTACCATGTATAAGAGAAAAGGCCAGCTCACGAGGTGCCTGGTGATGTTCTCGCCTGTCATCTTCTCATGACTGTTGGGCGCAAATGTCACCAGCAGGTAGGTGCCCACGACAGCCAAACCGCAGCCAACGAAAGACAAGATGTAGCGTCCTGTGGGACGGACAAGCCATCAGGGACCTGCCACAGGGGCAAGCGCAGGTGGGGATGAACTCTTGGCAGGGCAACAGCATCCTTCTTGTTCAACACATAGACAGTCATTCCCACACCAAGCTCCACACTATTGCTTTGTTGCTTACTTTAAAAAAGCAATGATCACTCTCAAGGTTATTTTTAATTTTTTTGTCTTTGTGAGACAGGGTCTCACTACGCAGTTCAGGTTGGCCTTGAACTCACTGTCACCCAAGCTGGCCTCAAACTTACAGTGATTCTCCTGCCTCTGCCTCCGAAGTGCTGGGGTTACAGGTGTGTGCCACCAGGTCTGGCTTTAAATGTTACCTTAAACCTTAGAAAGGCTTTCCTAAAGATGATGCATGCACTCTCACAAGGGACAAGGGGAACACAACCACCAAGCCAGTGCCAGGTCAAGACAGAGGACATTAGGAGGAGCCCATATCCCCTTTGCATCTTCCCAATCCTACAGCCTCCCACCAGTGTAAAGTGACTGGGACATGAGCACTCCAGTAGTTTGGCTGATCTGTATTTAGCACTGATGACTTCATGCACCGTTCCCTGGCTCTGCTGGCTCGGCACTGTGTTGGGGAGGTCTGTCTGCACTTGAGTGACAGTCCGTACTCCACCCGCCGTGCACGGGTGCTGGAGGATCTCCACTCTGACATTCTTACACGTATCCTTTGGAAAATACCTGTGTGCATCTCTATGGAGCACAAAACCAGCGGTGTAACCCCAGGGACAGTGGAAATGTGGAGTTTGTTTTGGGAATTACTGTCACACAGTTTTCCAAGTGGCTGCGCCCAGCTGTGCATGGTGGTGCATGTTAGTAATCCCAGTATGCAGGAGGCTGAGGCAGAAGGATCTACGTGAACTCGAGGTCAGCCTCTCCACACCCACCACCCTCCAGCTACATTGGCCTGACACTGAACACGCAAGACTGTCCCAGCCCCAGGGCACTGGCACCTGCCGCTCCCTCTGGGTGGCACATTCCACCCATGGTAAAATCACATCTTCAGAGACTCTAACTCTGGAGCAGTCTGGGCTCCAGAATGTTCCTCTTTCCTTAATCTGCCACTAAGCATTCTATTTTCTCAGAAGTTATTTTACTTATTCAGCTAATGACTTATTTATCATACCTCCTGCCCCCCTGTTCTTGCACCCATACTGGACTAAAGTCTCCGAGAGCAGGAACCCCTATCTATTCTGCTGTAACCCAGCATCTACATTAAGAATGTATCACTTAGTAGGACACAGTGGGGGAACCCTTCTTCCCTACTCCTTAGGATTCCATGTGGGACTTCCCATGAATGTAACACTTCTGCCTTTTCCCTATTGGTCCACATTTCTCAGTGGGTGGAGCTAATCTGTCAAGTGTTTAAATCCAGGGGTTTAGCTGTTTGCCTCTAATCTGTTAGGTAATATTTCTGAGGACATACCTCTCCTCTGTAAAGCCAAGTGTACCTTAGGTTGGCAGCTGGGAATTTATGAGGGCAAGTGGGCTGTGAAGAGATCATTGGGCTGCATACCTGTGCTCCAGGCCCAAATTCTGCTGGTACCAGGACAAAAAGCAGAACACCTGGTCTCTGGATTTTATTCCCATGGCTTCAGACAGGGAAGGCATGTGTCCTTCTAAAATCCCCCTAGATGCTCAGGCATTCCTGACTGGGTGGGATGAATGGAGTCCATTCTAAAGAATCTTAGGTAATGCTTTTATCAGCCTGACTTGGACCACGGATGTAGGAACCCAGTCTCAGGAGCCTAGAGAGAGTGGGGCAGGAGACAGAGGGCCCCTCAACCAGGAGAACTGCATTTATAGTGAATAAGAAGCGGGAGTATAAATGAAGGAAGGGCTCAGATCAATGAACTTACTCAGAAAGTCCTTAGGTTTCCATTTTTCTTTGATGAATATGATTCCTATGATGGCACTAGCTGGAAAACAAAGACACACAGGGAAAAGAAGGGGGAGGTCACTCAGACGCAGGGGTCCCTTCGCCCACACGCTTTGGGTTGGCTCATGTCTACTAGAACTCCCTACTTCCCCACCTCCCATGGCACGCCTGTTCCTCTACCTCAGGAAGAGAAGCCTCTAAGCCTCCTTCCTCCTAAAAGCCGGAAGCACTGTGCTGAGTACCTCTGTGCACCAGGCAACATACAGAAACTATCTCTGACACGTGCATCCTGGGAGGTGGGTGTGTTACTAGTTCAAACCTGACAAACGGGGACATTGTGGTTGGAGGGGGTGAAGGACCCACTTGAGATCATATAGCTAGTAGGGGAGTTAAGATTTGAACCCAGGACTGTTCGATTCAACTATGCTCCTTCCATAGTTCTTTTCTGTCCCTGTTTCTTCCACATTCACAGATGGACTTAGACTGCCGTGGCCAAACTGGGCTGGCAACACAGCGGATGGACCTGGCTCGCCAGCCCACGTGGCCTCTCTGGCTGGCTGTTGCTCCCCTGTGCCTTAGTTCTCTGGTCTACAACCCAGTAGTGGGCTAGATCCAGATGCAGTAGCACAAACTAAGAATGGAGCAGGAGCGTAACAGAAATGAGCCACAACACAGGAGCAGAAGGTGGAGACCGGGAGGCCCAGCCAGATAGCTCAGTGGAGTAAAGCTCCTGCTTAGGCAGGCGCAGGGATTGGGGTTCAATCCCCAGAGTGCCGTGTCAGCCCCACTCCCAGGGCATGCTGAGCCATCAATTGAGCCTGGGCATGGTGGTGCGTGCCTGTAATCCCAGCACTTGGGAGGCTGAAAACAGCAGAATCACTATGAGTCCGATCTGTGCAGTAAGCCCCTGTAGACCCTGCACTAAATACATTAAAAAAAAAAAAAGAAGGCAGAGACTGGGTTCGCTGATTAAATCACTGGCAGCTTGAAATCAACCACAGCAGGAGTAAATAATTTTGCTGCCATATAAATCAGCAAATGCTAGGAGTCAGGTCCTCTTGCTCTCCTCTCCCGCATCTCAGGCTCTTCTCTCTCTCCCTTCCTTCCTCTGCTTCCTCTTATTTATTTTTTTTTCTCTTTTTCTGAGAGACAGTGTATTCGCATAGCATTGAGAATAACTATCTTTCTGAGCTACGGGGGTGATGGAATAAGATAATATATGTAAATCATTTGGCACAGACTTAATATACAACAACTAAGTTGTTATTAATAAGTCCTTGGAACAGTGACAGATGGGTCAGGAGTACTTAAGGAGTGGTAGCTATTACTTTCAGTATTACTTCAATATCATTTTCTGAGGGTAGACTCAGGACCCGCAAGGGTCCCTTACGTTCAGTGGCTCATATCTAAAATCTTGTTATGTATTATACTTCAGTCTATTACTTTTAAGAATTTGGCTATTTATTAAAATTCAATCTCTTAATGAATAGAACGATTTGTTCTAGTGGTGTTTGTAAATAGGATCTCAAGTTCGCATCTTGTACAGCAATTAACCACTAAGAAGAATATATGTAGTGTGTTAGTTATTGAAACTGTCCTACCGATTTGATTTGAAACTGTCTCATTGCTACCTGTTTATCAATAAAATTATGAAAAAAAAAAAGATTTAAGGACTAATACTGAAAGCACTAGAGACCCAGCCACCAAGTCCTCACCATAAATAAAGGTGCCGAGGCCCCTTTGGAGATCCCAGAAATGGGCAAAGCAAAGAAGGGCACAAATTTGACTCTCTCTCTCTCTTTTTTTT